GACAGAAATCTTCCTCAATGTGCCTTTATCTGCACGAACCCGTCTGTGCTCTGAATCAGCCACAAATCTCTTAATAGTGCGATGATCACACTTAAGTTTTCGTGAAATATCTAATGTTTTCATACCTCGTCCAAGGCATTGAACTATTTCACTCTTTTCTGCAGCAGAGAGATCCTTTTTCTTCCCCATATTGCTTGAAAATGGTGCTCTGCTTAATAATTTGGCCTTCCTAGATACAAATGGTAAAGATCCTTTGGGAAGAGCATCTACTCAGGGGCGTCCCTAGGGTTGGTGTCACCCGGTGCGATAACACTTGGTGACACCCCCTCCGACGATTACTCGCAGAATGGATCGGATCTGCAGATTGAGCATAATGGATAGGACCCCAATGCATTATGCTCCCCAATCCGCAGATCCGATCCATCCTGCGGGGATCATCAACATGCAACATATACAGGGTGACACCGGATCCGCTCCACGAAAAGGTAAATTGTAAAGAAAGCCGACGATCCCCGCAGAATGAATCTGAACCATCCTGCAGGGATCATTGGCTTGCTTTATAACTTATCTTTTTGTGGACCGGGTCCAGTGTCACCACGTGTGGTAGATGTCACCTGGTGCGGGCCGCACCCCCCACACCTGCCTTGGGACACCACTGCATCTGCTACATAGTTTTGATTGATCTAAAGGAGATTGTACAGAGATTCTATTTTCTTACTTTCACCACACATGTTACAATATGATCTGGTCTCCTTTCAGTTGGCCATGCACTAGTAGAATTTGATAGACAAATTTTAGCTTTCAGAAGGATTTTCTGATGGTTGGTGGGATCAAATTGACATTTGTTTTTTACCATAGTGATGAAAAAAATTCAATGGAGCGGGATGTAAAATTTCTTCCGAATGAACAAAATTCTAACTGTGAATGTGGTTTTCATTTGTATGAAAAATCAAACCTATTGTAACACAATCCTGTTTAAACATCTGGGAGTATATTAGAATAGCAGATTGAAATGTGAACGGCTTTTAAACAAAAGTATTTGACTCAATGATGACAAGAGAAAGCATTCTGCCTAAACTTTTCGTACGAATCTTCGCACTGAATACTACTAGTGTATGGCCAGCTTTACATCTACCAACAACTGTGTAGTGCAGAGACCTGCCTGACTGGATACAAATTGATTGGGTAGGTCTTCATATTACATTGTTTTGGTAAATCTAAAGTTGAATGTACGAAGATTGTGTGGTCAGATTGTAACCTGTATGGTGACACTAAAGCCGGCCATACACGGGTCGAATTCTGTAAGAATTTTCTTTCGAAAATCTTTTCTAAGAATTTTCGTTCAAATTTCGCACCATTAGTGGGTCACAGAAACAGCCGATTTTCGTGTGACCATCAAATTTGCGTGATCGGGCATGCTGGAAATTTTTTGAAAAACGAACAAATTTCAAATAAATGAGAATCGTGCAAGAAATATAAAGCTGTGATCTGGAAAGAAAAGAAAATTCTTGGCCACAAAAATTATTATCTGTAGCAACATAAGGAGAAATTGAAGGCTTGGTTGGTTGAATTTCAAAATCAATGGTGGCACCATCGCATTACAAAACACACAAAATGTCCGATTTTCTAAAGAAAAATCATTTGGAATTCAACCCATGTATGGCCTGCATAACAGAGAGCTCCCCTCTGTATTCCCAATGGGGGGTAATGTTCATCTGTTGTCATGTGTAAATCTCCTGGAATGTAGGCAGGTTGAGAACTACTAACCAATCATATTCTTCAAACAGGGACAGCTTCACTTTTAATAATTTGATGTACACCATTCAGATATACCTTCCCTGCTGACTTTATTCAAGCACACCTATCCTTTACCATCGGCTGTTACGTATGTTTCTATTTTAGGCATAGTATTTGCAGAGACTGTAATAAGTGAGAAGTATAAATACGCCACGCATATTTGTGCTCAGTATATTTGCACTCATCCGTCCAGCAGTGTTGAATTTCACACAGGTGGAGAAATCAATCCAGCCGGCCACACCTTGGGGCCAGATATAACTATTAGGGCAAGCAATGGCGGCAGTGAATATTTTGCTGACAAAGCAGACAGGAGACTGTGATATAGTAATGTGGACAATTCGCTCATTGATACTAGACAATAAAATCCTTTCCAAACCACACAGCTTTTATCCATAACTTGTCTTTAAGTATTTACTGCTAGGCACCCAGGGGCGGACTGACCATTCGAACACTCGGGCACTGCCCGAGGGCCCGGGGTCAGTAGGGGGCCCCATGAGATGCCCCTCGTACCTTTCATTGGCTTTTTTATAGGCTTTTTTGAGTGTTGGTGAGGACACAGGGGCCCCATGATCCCTTATTGCCGGGGGCCCCATGAGTTGTCAGTCCGCCCCTGTAGGCACCTATAAAAGTTAGGCAGGACAGTCAAGGTCAGGGTTGTGAATGGCTTGATCACAACCCTGCTATGCAGGTAACTCCTTACCCTTCCTCTTAGATCAAAGTGGCAATAGGAATTGCAGAGCCAAGTGAAGTCCTTGGCTCCTCCTCAGGTCTGAGGTGTCATTTTGACAGAAGGGGGATCAATCTGTATTGAAGGCAAGGGGAAGGGGTAGATGTTTCGACTGCAATGGGGTATTTTTAATTGCAGCGGGAGTGGGAATGTGCATTAGTTTTTACTGACCTCTACACTCTTACAAAGTACTAACCTCTGTACATTGCATACAACTGACCTCAGAACTCGATGTCATTTACTTTTTACTCCTGCGTTCTGTGTCACATACTACATGTACATATTACTGAGTTACTACTGACCCCTGCACACTGTGACCTCTGCTACTACTGCATTAGTTACACCTGACCCATGTGTTATGAGTTACTTATTACCTTTTGAATTATGACCTCTGTGTTACTTACAGGCTCCTGCACTTTGCTTTCCATATTAATAACCTCTGAGTTATTACTCCCAACCCCTGAAATCTGTATTATATAATACTTACCTCTGAGTTATTTATCCTTGACCACTGCATTACTTCTGACCCCAGCACTCTGTGCTACTTACTCCTGACCCCAGCACTCTGCAATACGTACTCCTGACCCCAGCACTCTGCAATACTTACTCCTGACCCCAGCACTCTGCAATACTTACTCCTGACCCCAGCACTCTGCAATACTTACTCCTGACCCCAGCACTCTGCATTACTTACTCCTGACCCCAGCACTCTGCAATACGTACTCCTGACCCCAGCACTCTGCAATACGTACTCCTGACCCCAGCACTCTGCAATACTTACTCCTGACCCCAGCACTCTGCATTACTTACTCCTGACCCCAGCACTCTGCATTACTTACTCCTGACCCCAGCACTCTGCATTACTTACTCCTGACCCCAGCACTCTGCAATACTTACTCCTGACCCCAGCACTCTGCATTACTTACTCCTGACCCCAGACTTACTCTGACCCCAGAACTCTGCATTACTTTTAATCCCTGCACCCTGCATTACATACTTTTGACCTCTGCACCCTGTGACCTCTGCTACTACTGACCTCTGCATTAATTACACTCGACCACTACCCTCTGTGTTACATATTACTATCCTCTGAACTCTGTTACTTACTCCTGACCACTGCACTCTGCATTACATACTACTGACCTTTGTGTTACTACTGACCCCAGCACTACATACTACTGACCTCTGAGTTACTACTGACCCCTGCACTACATACTACTGACCTTTTTGACTTACTTACACCTGAGCCTTGCATTCAGTTTCGCATTCTACTGACTTCTGAACTGCATTACATACTCTGGTTCCCCGCACTTACCTTTGCTTTACTTACTCCTGACCTTTGCATAACATGCTATTGATCTCTGCATTACTTATTCTTAAATAGGACCTTACAAGGTTATCTTAAAAACAATCTACACAACACCCTCATGATTATTGATCTCTTTCATGTTGTTCAAAACTCCACCTTTTCAGGGTTGCCTAAAAGGTCAATATATAGCAAACAGGATATGCAAAACAAGAGTTCATTCTCAAGTAGTCAAATAGATGCAATCCGTGTACACTGACAAGGAATCATTCATGTTACTGTCCACTTCTGCTTGTTGAAGGATTTTCCACTTAAACCATTAATGTGTCGCTAAAGCCAAAACTTTTTGTCATGTCGGATAGAGTAAGGGAGGGTTATAACCCTGTAATTTTTTTTTTTTTTGCCACCTGTGTCCCATTGCGTAGCTAGCTTTCCCTTCACTTTCTTTCTCATAGCCAAAACAGGAAGTGAGAGAAAATCCCTCCAAAGTGAGGGAATCCTGGGGTGTCACTGTGGTCACTAAAACAATTTTTTTCCCATCCTCATTGGGTGGATATCCATTCACTCCCTCTTTCATAGCCAAAACGGGAAGTGAAAGGAAATCGATCCAAAGTGCAGGAATCCATGGTTGTCACCAGAACTAGTGTCCCATTGGAAGATTTCCCCTCTGTTCCTGTTCTGAATTCCTGTTCTTGTCAACCCAAAATTTTCTTTTACTTTCACTGATAATGGCAAACAAAACAAAAAGGGTGAATCTAACTAGTGAATCTAACTAATGAGGGCACAAACAGCAATAAAACCTGACAAGAGTTCTATTCCCTCTCCACTCTATCCAAAACAAAACAAAAAATTACCTTTAGTGGCACTTTAAGGCTGACAACAAATATCAGTAGAAACAGAAGTCTTTACCTGTTTCACCAATCTATTTATTCCATGCTAGAATTGCAGGCGGCATAGAAGCTGTGATGGGAACTACATATTGTTGGATCTGTCGATTGGTGATAAACACTGCCACCTGCTGGTTAGGGTTAGAAAACAAGGTTTAGGCTTTGTACAGCCACCTAATACCAACCAGACGTCGAGATATATACACTATATTGCCAAAAGTATTGGGACACCCCTCCAAATCATTGGATTCAGGTGTTCTAATCACCTTCATGGCCACAGGTGTATAAAATCAAGCACCTAGTCATACAGACTGCTTCTGCAAACATTTGTGAAAGAATGGGTCGCTCTCAGAAGCTCAGTGAATTCAAGTGTGGTACCGTGATAGGTTGCCACCTGTGCAATAAGTCCATCTGTGAAATTTCCTTCTTACTAAATATTCCACAGTGAGCAGAAGTCGACAACTGTCTGCATAGTCAATAGCTAAAGACCTTCAAACTTTGTGTGGATTAGCTCAACAACAGTGTGTAAAGAGCTTCATGGAATGGGTTTCCATGGCCGAGCAGCTGCATCCAAGCCTTACATCACCAAGTGCAATGCAAAGCATCGGATGCTGTGGTGTAAAGCACGCCACCACTGGACTCTAGAGCAGTGGAGACGTGTTCTCTGGAGTGACCAATCACGCTTCCTTGTCTGGCAATGTGAAGGATGTGTCTGGGTTTGGCGGTTTCCAGGAGAACGGTACTTGCCTGACTGCATTATGCCAAGTGTAAAGTTTGGTGGAGGAGGGATTATGGTGTGGGGTTATTTTTCAGGGGTTGGGCTTGGTCCCTTAGTTCCAGGGAAGGGAACTCTTAAGGCATCAGTATACCAAGACATTTTGGACAATTTCATGCTCCCAACTTTGTGGGAACCATTTGGGGATGGCCCCTTCCTGTTCCAACATGACTGTGCACCAGTGAACAAAGCAAGGTCCATAAAGACATGGATGAGCGGGTTTGGGTGGAGGAACTTGACTGGCCTGCACAGAGTCCTGACCTCAACCCAATAGAACACCTTTGGGATGAATTAGAGCGGAGACTGCGAGCCAGGCCTTCTCACATCAGTGCCTGAACTCACAAATGTGCTTCTAGAAGAATGGTCAAACATTCCCATAGACACACTCCTAAACCTTGTGGACAGCCTTCCCAGAAGAGGGGAAGTTTCCCAGAAACAAACATCACAAACGCATTCAGGAGAGGAGCTAAAGAGCAGAAAAAAAATGGTGAATGGGCCTAAATACATGTAAATGTGTCTATATGCGCCTAAACGGTAGACACATCTGGTGCTTGAGCGCTAATGCATAGTACATTTTCTGACCAAAGGAATCCATTAGCGCTCAAATGCTTGATGTACCTAAACCTGTGTGTAATACGCAGCTTTAAACAGCTTTTCTCCTGCCAGGCATCCTGGTGTTCAGAAAAGCACAGCAAAAACCTAAAAGGCGTAATGGTGTAGGCTCCAGGCAGTCTCTCTGATGCTCATTTCTATTGAGCCACTGACTTGGAACATGTAAGCCACATGTGAATTTTGATCCCCCTTGCTCAGGTAAGAGTCTCACTGGGTAGTGAAGTCAGATTGCGAAGGACGGCTCTGCAGGCTGCACCTTTAACAATAAAACACAACAATCACAGCTCCTGTATTTCTATTCTCACAAGCTTCAGCTTAAAGGTGACATAAAACCTCATTAAGATGTGAGATGTGCTTTTACCCTGCTGAGCGGCTCATGCAAGAAATATGATGAAAGAAAATGTCAATATAAATGTAGATCTGAAGGAGGTGTATTTCCCAAGTAGAATGATGTATTTTAAGGTAGATGTGCGGAAGGTGCAGATAACAGCGCTTGGTGGGTTGTGACTTCTCCAAGGCTCATTAACTGCACTAAAGTGGAAGAAAGTGGAAAAAGGGAGCAAAAAACTGGGACAGTAAAAAAATAATAAAGTGCTATGAACCAGGGATTGGCAGGCTGGGGAGGAATGAGCAGATGCTGAGCATCATCCAGTCCTGTAAAGAAGTGGGATCTATCTGGCTTACTGCAACTTTTAATGCAAGGGTTTCCAACCTGCAGCCCAAGATGGCTAGGAATGCGACCCAACACAAAATCGTAAACTTCCTTAACCACTTGCCTACCGGGCACTGATGAGCTGGCACTGATATGCAGCAATGATGGGCACTGATAGGCGGCACTGACTGGCGGCACTGATCATCAGTGCCCTGATGATCAGTGCCGATCCGTTCTCTGACAATTGCCTACCGGGCACTTATACCCCCTTCGTGCCCAGGCCAATTTTCAGCTTTCAGTGCTGTCACACTTTGAGTCACAATTGCAACATTGTACCCATATGAAATTGTTATAATTGTTTCAAACAAATAGAGCTTTCTTTCGGTGGTATTTACTTGCCGCTGGGCGTTTTATTTTTTGCGCTATAAACAAAAAAAGAGCAAAAAGTTTGAAGAAAAAAAAAAGTTTTTCTTTGTTTCTATTATACAGTTTTGCAAATAGGGTAGTTTTTCCTCCTTCACTGATGTGCGTTGATGAGGCTGCACTGATGAGCTGACACTGATATGCAACAATGATGGGCACTGATAGGCGGCACTGATTGACGGCACTGCTGGGCAGCACTGATGGGTGGCACTACTAGGCACAGGTGGGTGGCACTGCTGGGCACTTGTGGGCGGCACTGATGGGTGGCATCGCTGGGCACTGATCATCAGGGCACCGATCATCAGTGCCCTGATGATCAGTGCCGATCCGTTCTCTGACAATTGCCGGTTATTGGCAGTACTTTTCTCACGCTGTGACAGCTTGAGGAAAGTGCAGCCGATAACCGGCAACTGCTGTGTCATTGGACACGGCTGATCATGTGGTAAAAGGCCGCTGTTATTGGTCTTTTACACCATCACGTGATCAGCTGTGTCCGTAGGACACAGTGATCACAAAGATCACTGGATGCGCGCCCCCGGGGGCGTGCAAGAGGGTGCGTTCTGGGAGGACGTCACATGACGCCCTCCCCGAACTGGCCGGCCACGGTGAAGCCTTCATTCGCCTATCTGCGGTCGGCAAGTGGTTAAAGATGTTGATTTTTTGGGAAATTTTTTTGTAAATATGTTTTTATACTTAGCGAACACACATGGCTAGAAAAATTTGACAGTGTTTCTTTACTGGACTTTTAAAGTTTTATCTTCCCATAGAAAAAAAATATCCTATTCTTCACAATCACACCTTATTCATGTCATCAGTTATCGGCAGCAACAATATTTCTGAGGAACTTTTTTCAAGGATGAAGCACATGAGGAGAAAATTAGAACCAAAATATCTGATGAGCACCTTGAGAATTCACTGAGAATTGCTACTGCATCCAGCCAACCAGATATCGATGTGTTAGTTTATCAAAAAACAGTGTCAAATATCACAGTAGTTTTATGTTGCCCTCTTTCACTTTTGTAATTAAAAAAAATTACAAAAAAATACATTTTTTTTGTAACTCAGATAGGTACATTATCTATATCAATGATTGTTAACTTGTGATCTGCCAAACTTTTTCTGCTCATCAGCTATTCTTATTGTTAGTGTACTGTGAGGCCCAAGACAATTCCTCTTCTTCCAATGTGGCCCAGGAAAGTCAAAAGGTCGGACACCCATGTTTTATTGCATACTGTGAGAAGCTCAGAGTAAGCTATTTCAGTACATCTGTGTAAGACTGAAGACAAGAACTGAGTTTAGCTTTAATATTTCTGGTTTAAGGACATATAGGGGTTTATTTACTAAAGCTGGAGAGTCCAAAATCAGACTCCCTTCTGCATAGAAACCAATCAGCTTCTAACCTCAGCTTGTTCAATGAAGCTTTGGCAATGAAACCTGGAAGCTGATTTGGTTTCTATGCAGAAGGGAGTCTGATTTTTGACTCTCCAGCTTTAGTAAATAAACCCCATACAGTCAATTTAAGGAGTAACTCCAATTTTAAGAAAAAAAAAAAACACCCCTATCTGGGTGATCAATTTACATTGCATGGATTTTTAACAACATTTGTTACAGATGCCTACCAGTTTCTGCTCTGAAGAAATAGCGGTTTGTTTGAATATGTCAATTTGCACAGTAAATCCGAATGGAAGTGACTTTTTCATTATTATTCAGCTCATGCACTTGCAGTGTTCTAATAAGGAGATTGCAGGGTCTCATCCCAAGTGATGAACCCTCTTGGAGTATCTCACCAAAAATGAAATTTTTGTTTCACTGGATGCCTATGATATGATTTGTATCCTAGTGCAGTCTTCCAGGAATATCAGTGATCCAATTGCACAAATTCTGTACACCAACTGTGTACAAATTGCCCCCCCCCCCCCGGTTCCAATATTGAATTTTACAAAAAATTACAGTAGCTACAGATTGAAAAAGGAAAGGTAATTTTTAATAATATTAAATTTAGTGATGCACCAATATATTGGCCGTTGAAAATTATCGGCTGAAAATAGGGTTAATCAGCTTTTTGCCAATAGAACAAAAAAAAGGTGCCGGTAATGATAATTGACTTCAATGCAAAATTGCATCCCATTGACTTCAATGCAAAATCATGTCCTATTGACTTCAATGCAAAAACGCCCCCTATTGACTTTAATGCAAAACCACATCCCATTGACTTCACTGAAAAATCGCATCCCATTGACTTCAATGTAAAATCATTTCCTATTGACTTCAATGCAAAAATGCCCCCCCCCCCCTATTGACTTCAATGCAAAACCACGTCCCATCAACTTCAATGCAAAATTGCATCCTATTGCCTTAAATGCAAAATCATATTCCATTGATGTCAATGTTAAAATGCCTCTATTTAAGTTTTTTTTTATATATATATATATATATATATATATATATATATATATATATATATATATATAATTATATTATTTTCATTATATTTCAATTTATTTTCTGTCCAATTTTTAATTTAGATTTAACTTAATTTAAGTTTTTTATTTTTATTATTTTCTAACTAATTTTCGTTCGTTACTTTCAATAAAAGTTATTTTACATTACTGGGTTGTACTTTTTTAAATACATATTCATTTAAATTCAAGGTATTAATTAAATTGCCAAATATAATACAATTATATATAAAAAATATATGTTTTTAAAAAATTGTCCATTTTGGTTTTGGTTTTGGGCCTAGTGCATCCTGAATTGGTTTTAATCCAGAATTTTCACATTGTTGCACCACTATTTAAATTGCATTATGGCTTGTGCAGCAACTGAACATGCTATATTTTTTTATTTGCTAAATGTATTTTCCAATGAAAGTGGAGTTACCCTTTAAGTCTGAGAAGTCAAAGTCTTGGCATCAATTGCTCGGCAATCAACATTTTCAGAAGCAGTCTGTTTTTCTCTCATAAACGGTGTGTGTGCATTTCAAGTGTCTGGCTGCCATGGGACCATATCTACATACACAATACAGCTCCTTGAAAGGAAATAAACAGAGTAAACACATTGGTGTTGGGGTGAAAAAAGCCCCTGTAAAGAATTTTAATGAGAATCTTTATACATGTTTATATATATATTTATTTTCTACTGACAGATTGTGGGGGGATCGTGCAGGGCAGGGGGAACTGTTGGGGTTGGTCTTTGCCCCCAATAGTAGGATCACAATATATTTTACACAGGAGTGGCCTGAGTTGGGAACTCGCAGCAATAAGGCACTAATATGCCCAAAAGTTGACTCATTACTCACTGCACATGGCAGGTAAGTCAACTCCACAGGACCCTTTTTATGTGGCAGTGACAGTGTGACATGGTGTCACACAAAGGCAGTACTAGGAATGAGAGTCCCACAATCAAAGCAAGTACATTCTACAGGGTCAGAACTTAAGGAGTGCCTTGTTGCTGCAACTTCCAGGGTGGACAGAAGCAAACTTTAGTGTTTGTTCCGAGTTTGTAAACCTCAGCACAGGCTCCATCAGAGCAGGTAACAAGTGTTAATAAAAAGACATGAATGGGGATGAGAGGAGGGAGTAGAAGATGTGCAATTATTTACACAATGAAGAAAGCACATTCTTTAGTACACAGAGTAGATCCGAATTCCACAGCAAAGAACCATACTGAAGATCATCTCAATAATCTAAAGAGAATGGAAATAATACAACGAATTAATGAAAGGAAAACAAATAGGAAATAAATATTCACCATAACAAGGACTAGATATGTCTCATGTAATAGAAAACAGCGAGGAATTCTTCTTGGAAGGTTCTCTTTTTTTAAAGTGGACCTCTGTTTTGCCCACAGATTCAATAAATACCCCACCACAGCTGTCTGCACGTAAAGTGATACTGAAGGCTATAATTTCTTTCTAAATAAAAAAGAGGTAATACTTACCTGTTCTGTGCAATGAAATTGCACAGATATATCACTTTCATCCTCTCCTGGCAGTCCCCTGCTGGTGCTATCAGCTTTCTCCTTCCTCCGGGTGCCTCCTGGGTGCTACAGAGGCACCCATGTGTGCACGTTCCCAAGCCAGGCTGTGTGCATCCATAGACACATACACCGCTGGCAAACTATGCCCCTGCTCCCTACTCACAGGAGTTTTACTGTTGTTCTATTTTACCACCCATCCCCACCATGTGACAGCACCCTGGCCTGGTAAATTGCTATCCAGGAACCCAGAACCAGAACTTACTGCAACTCATCAGGTAAATGGGGCAGCAAAATGGAAGACAGGTATAAGAAAGGCTACTAAAACAATATATTAGCTTGCCCTCAATGTAAACAGTACAGCTGTATTTTATAACCACTTCCATCTTCAAATATCTATAATCCAGTAATTATCTGGGCCCCAGCCTTTTTTATTTATTAAATTAATTGCCCCCTTCTTGTTGTTCCAAACTGCACTGCTACCTATGGATGACTACTTCTTTTCCAGGGTCACCTACCATTATTGCTCACTCCACAGGTACTCCATGTTGGAATGTATGTGTGGTGCATGGTGGCTGTGGTCTCCTATTTGGCTACTAGGTGGCTCTGCTTTTCTTATTGAACTTGCCAATAGCTGGGTGGCAACTTTTTCTCTTTCTTGGGTAATGCCAGGAGTTTGGACAGGCAGTGTCCCCCAGAACCCACTAGGTGTCACTGTCTAATAGCATGAGCCACCTGCAGTGTGTATTAATTCATCCTTCCTCCAGGATCCTGGGAGTTCACCCTGCCAGACATTACTATTCCAGGAAGGATATAAAAGACTAGGAGTGTGCAGTCTAATCAGTCCCGTCTATGAGAAGATCTAACCTGCAGCCAGGTAGGGTTGCACCTCATCCTCAAGACAAAGGGTGTTCTCCATGCTTGGGCTTATCCCTGTAGGCCAGGGCACAGGACCATCCGTCTCTATCTACTTGCCCTCCCGAGGATTTACCCCCCTTCCTGATCAGGCCATTTTTTGCATGACGGCACTGTGGTACATTAACTGACAATTACGCAGTCATGCAACACTGCACCCAAATGAAATTAATGTCCTTTTTCCCACAAATAGAGCTTTATATCGGTGATAATTGATCGCCTGTGCGATTTTTATTTTTTGCGCTATAAAAAAAAAGACCGACAATTTTGAGAAAAAAAACAATATTTTTTGACTTTTTGCTATTAAACATGTCCAGTAAAAACAATTTAAAAATCAAATTTCTGCATAAATTCAGGCCAAAATGTATTCTGCTACATGTCTTTGCTAAAAAAAAAAAATCCCAATACATGTAGATTAATTGGTTTATGTGAAAGTTATAGCGCTTACAAATGGCGGTATAGACACTGGAATTTTTTTTGTTTTTTTTACTAGTAATGGCGGCAATCAGCGACTTATAGCGGGACTGTATAACAGCAGCAGGGTATTCTGACACTAGGGGGGGACTGACTTGGTGTCACTGACATCCCCAGTGACACCAATACAGTGATCAGTGCTAAAAAAAAGGACTGATACTATACTAATGGCACTGGGCAGGAATGGGTTACCGTGGGGCGATCAAAGGGTTAACGGAGTGCTTTCCACTGTAAGCACACTGCTTTGTAGGGTTCTGCTATGCAGAGCCATACAAAGCAGTGTGCAGGAGCTGACAGGGGAGAGAACTGTATTGTTCACATACCGTTCTCTCCCCTGTCGGAGATACTCAGCGATCACCGGATGCCGGCGAGTAATCACCGGCCAGGACCTGGTGATTGACAGCCAAGGCTGCGAATAATCTATTAATATACAAACCTTTGGGTGCCTCTACAAATCTTTTTTTAGGCTACATTCACACTGAACTGTGCGTTTTCAGGCGTTTTTAAAGCGCTTTTTTTGAGTATAGTTGCAAATATTATATGAGTTTTTCATTTAGGCGTTTTTGCTGTGGCCAATAGAAACCTGTGTAGATGTGTCCTCGGCGCATACAACAGGAAAACCAGAATCAAGCACATGATTTCAGTACACAGAAGTCCTGTAGCTTTCTCCTTGATTTGGGGAGCAGTGTAGCTGCGGTAGAATGTTTGGTCCCACTTCCTCCCAGGCTCTGGAGGTTCTTGCCCGGCTCTTATACTGGGGATCCCTGAGATCATAGATGCAGGGGTGGCCACGAATGACAGCACTGAATATCTCCATAATGACCACAAGATGTGTGTTTATAAGGTATGGAGTGATGCTAGGAAAGGGAAGGGGAGCTGCTGTTTGAGCTGAAAAAGCCTGAAAAAAACGCAACTGTGTTGCTGCTCAGGCATTTTCCATTCATGTCCAAAGGGGTCAAAAATGCTCAAATCTGTCTGAAAAGTAGCAAACGCACTTTTTTGAGCAACAGGCGTTTTGCTACAGGCGACAAAACGCTCAAATGTGTACAGGGGCCATTGAAATGAATGGGATTTTCCTTGTTAAAGCGGAGTTCCACCCAAAAGGGGAAGTTCTACTTTAAAGATTGGTCCCCCGCTCCCCATTAAGGATTTGCACCTTTGGGGAGCGGGAGGGGAATGGGTACCCAAATTTGACAGGTACCCACTCCCACTTCCGCTGCGATTGCCTAGGCGATCTGAAGTGGAAAGTGTCCTCCCTCCCTCCACGAAGTCTTGTGGGACACGTGACAGGTCCCAGAAGATGACGGGGTCAATCAGGAAGCGCAGCACTACTCACGCATACGCAGTAGGCACCCCGGTTTTGAAGCCGCAAGCTGTCACAGTCAGGTGCTTATACTGAAGATGCTGGAGCCTGGAATACAGGACGGCTGGTGAAACGGGCTGTGGCGGGGCAACACGGGATCGTGGGACAGGTGAGTGGCTGAATTTTAAAAGTCAGCAATTACAGTTTTTGTAGCTGCTGACTTTTATTTTTTTACAGAGTGAATGGAATTCCACTTTAAGCGTTTCTGAGTGTCGAGCTTGGAGCTTAAAAATGCTCAAAAATTATACCCTTCTTGTCCACTAAAAAAAAAAAAAAAAAGTATAGCTCTTTTCTGCATTTAAAATCCTGCCTGTTCTCAATGTTTGTAAAGTTCCACTTTAAACAAAATATATATCTGCAAATTATTATGCCTTGTTATATGTTTTTTTCTGAATTTAACATTCTGGGAAAAAAAATAGAATATAAAATGTTGTATTTGCGAAAGCCTGAACACCCTCTGCCAGTTGATCCACTACTGTCATCATGGCTCTGGATCATGGAACTTAACTGACTCCTTAAGCTTTGGTTCAAGTCAGCTGAGGATGGAGATTAAGACATTGTTGGGCCATTGAAACCTTTCAGTGTGTCGTGCTTACATTTATCAACCATGAGCTTCTCAAAAGCACTTGACGATGTCGACATTACAATCATTTTCTCTTACAAAGCATGGCATGCTTTTAAAAAAATCTAAAAGCTTACAACCAAATATTCTGGGAAATACCAAAGGAAGTGGTGCTAAAGGAAGGCAGAGGCACCGCTGACACGTTTGTTACAGCGCATAGTTCTAGTTATGCACTGATATAGTTCTGTACAGTTACTGTTATGGCAACTTGGACCAATGTAAGTATACACATTCCATAAGCAGACAATCACTGTAGTAGTTGGAGCTACTACAGTCATCGCCGTGTTCTCCTGTTACCTCTGCCGAGCAGGCTTCCCTTCTGCATAGTAATCACAGGGGTTCACTCCCCTGGCACTGTTACCATTTACAGAATGCCTTGTATTTTTTTTTTTAATGAATACAAGGCATTTACTGATTGGATGAGGTTCAGAGGTGGGACAATGAACATCACAATTTCCACCTCATCCAATCAGAGAATGTCTCGCATTCAATGAAAACTACAAGGTGTTCTGTTAATGTACCGACTGAGCGACCCACTGTGGCAACTATGCAGAAGAGAAGCTGCTTGACATAATACCCAGAAGACTGCAGTAATCACTGTAGTAGAGTCAACTACTACGGTAACTGTTGTCTGCTTTTACAAGTATGGAATATGTAGACTTATTTCAGTCCAAGCTGAACCAATGCAACTGTGCAAAAAAAAATCATACCTAGATGTTAGCTTCACCCCAGGTTCACACCTAAGCGTTTTGCAGAAATGCACTACAGACCATTTAACATGCGATACGTTCACATCTCCGTGGTTTCACACCCGGTGCATTTTTTGGAAAGGGTCAGGGATTTTTTTTGAACACAAAAAGTTGCGTTTTTGGTTCTATAGAGTTCAATGGAAACGCTGCAGAAAAGCATGTATTGTGTTTTTGTTGCATTTTGCACTTTAAATCCACCTAGCAACAAGAAAGCAAAAGCAAACATGCAAAAAGCAACAAGAAAGCAAAAAAACCCACACAAAATGCCTCAAAAAAAGCGTCAGAAACGCATGTGCAAAAACACAAAACGCAATGCAAAATGCAATCCAGAAACAGGTCAAACGCAAACCTAGCCTAAAGGATGGATGGGGTGGTGTCTAGGTAAGCTTTAGCTCAAGTTATCCCTTTTAGTTCTCCCTTATATTACAGCAGGGAACGCACTGTACATGAGTGCCTGGATGAAATGTGCGCTTTTCCCATATATCTGTAAAGAATGCAAACTGAGACTTTTCTTTTTTATTGGCATTTTAGAAACAGGTTTTATCAGGTTGCTTTGAGTGCTGAGAAGAGTCTAATGTTATCTTACCATGATGACAGCCACCACTGCAGCTGCAATCCCGACCAAGTGCAGCTTAGACTGAAACAGTTCATCAATTCTTTCATGGCAATTCTAAAGGAAAAGGAGAAAATGTAAAACACCGTATTCCACAAATCAAAAAACAATTCCTTTAACCACTCGCCTACAGGGCAATTATACCCCCTTCCTGCCCCGGCCAATTTCCAGCTTTCAGCGCTGTCACACTTTGAATGACAATTGTGCGGTCATGCAACACTGTACCCATATGAAATTTTTATCATTTTTTTGAGACAGATAGAGCTTTTGGTGGTATTTAATCACCTCTGGGTTTTTTATTTTTTGCTAAACAAACCAAAAACTTAAAATTTTGGAAAAAATTTTTTTCATAAATTTTGTTATAAAATTTTGTAAATAAGTGATTTTTCTCCTTCACTGATGTGCGCTAATGAGGTTGCAGTGATGGGCACTGATAGGTGGCATTGATGAGGAGGCACTGGTAGGTGGCACTGATAGGCATTGACAGGCATCACTGATGGGCACTGAAAGGCAGCGTTCCTATATGGTACTGATAAGCGGCACTGACTGGCACTGATAGGTGGCACTGACTAGCACTGATAGGCGGCACTGACTGGCATTGATAGGTGGCACTAACTAGCACTGATAGGTGACACTTAAAGGCAGCTCAGATGGGCACTGCTATGTGGCATTGATGTGCACTCGTAGGCACTGATATGTGGCATTGAAGTGGCACTAGCAGGTGGCATTGATGAGCACTGACAGCTGGCATTGATGGACACTGACAGGTGACACTGCTGGGGCTACACTGATCATCAGGGCATACTGATCATCAGTGCCCTGATGATCAGTGTACAGTGGGGATCGAAAGTTTGGGCACCCCAGCTACAAATTTGTATTAATGTGCATAAAGAAGCCAAGGAAAGATGGAAAAATCTCCAAAAGGCATCAAATTACAGATTAGACATTCTTATAATATGTCAACAAAAGTTTCATTTTATTTCCATCATTTACACTTTCAAAATAACAGAAAACAAAAAAATGGCGTCTGCAAAAGTTTGGGCACCCTGCAGAATTTATAGCATGCACTGCCCCCTTTGCCAAGCTGAGACCTGCCAGTGTCATGGATTGTTCTCAATCATCGTCTGGGAAGACCAGGTGATGTCAATCTCAAAGGTTTTAAATGCCCAGACTCATCTGACCTTGACCTAACAATCAGCACCATGGGTTCTTCTAAGCAGTTGTCTAGAAAACTGAAACTGAAAATAGTTGACGCTCACAAAGCTGGAGAAGGCTATAAGAAGATAGCAAAGCATTTTTAGATGTCAATATCCTCTGTTCAGAATGTAATTAAGAAATGGCAGTCATCAGGAACAGTGGAAGTTAAAGCAAGATCTGGAAGACCAAGAAAAATATCAGACAGAACAGCTCGCAGGATTGTGAGAAAAACAATTCAAAACCCACGTTTGACTGCACGATCCCTCCAGAAAGATCTGGCAGACACTGGAGTTGTGGTACACTATTCCACTATAAAGAGATACTTGTACAAATATGGTCTTCATGGAAGAGTCATCAGAAGAAAACCTCTGCTACGTCCTCACCACAAAAATCATCGTTTGAACTTTGCAAATCAACATATAGACAAGCCTGATGCATTTTGGAAACAAGTTCTGTGGACCGATGAGGTTAAAATTTAACTTTTTGGCCGGAATGAGCAAAGGTACGTTTGGAGAAGAAGGGGCACAGAATTTAATGAAAAGAACCTCTGTCCAACTGTTAAGCATGGGGTTGGATCAATCATGCTTTGGGGTTGTGTTGCAGCCAGTGGCACAGGGAACATCTCACGAGTAGAAGGAAAAATGGATTCAATAAAATTTCAGCAAATTTTGGATGGTAACTTGATGCCATCTGTGAAATAGCTGAAGTTTAAAGAGAGGATGGCTTCTACAAATGGATAATGATCCTAAACACACCTCGAAATCCACGGGGGATTACATCAAGAGGCGTAAACTGAAGGTTTTGCCATGGCCTTCACAATCTCCTGACCTCAACATAATTGAAAATCTATGGATAGACCTTAAAAGAGCAGTGCGTGACAGACAGCCCAGAAATCTCAAAGAACTGGAAGACTTTTGTAAGGAAGAATGGGCAAAGATACCTCAAACAAGAATTGAAAGACTCTTGGCTGGCTACAAAAAGCGTTTACAAGCTGTGATACTTGCCAAAGGGGGCAGTACAAGATATTAACTCTGCAGGGTGCCCAAACTTTTGCAGACACCATTTTTTTGTTTTCTGTTATTTTGAAAGTGTAAATGATGGAAATAAAATCTAACTTTTGTTGACATATTATAAGAATGTCTAATCTGTAATTTGATGCCTTTGAGATTTTTCCATCTTTCCTTGGCTTCTTTATGCACATTAATACAAATTTTTAGCTGGGGTGCCCAAACTTTCAATCCCCACTGTACATGTCCCCTCAGCGTGACAGCTCGTGAGGAGAGAAATGCCGATAACCGGCATTTCCCTATTTACATGTGATCAGCTGTGATTGGACACAGCTGATCACATGACCGAGCTGACATCTTCGGCTCTTTCCATAGATCGGTGTTCCGCTGTGTCCGAGGGCGCAGACCAGTGCACACGCGGTTAGAGTGAGAGGACGTCATATGACGTCCTTCCAGAACGAGAGAAGCACCTTGCGCCCGTCATTTCCTCATGTGACGGGTGGGAGGCGGTTAAATAAATGTTTGCTCTGACACATAATCAGCATATATTAGGGATTGCCCATAGTGGGTGTGCTGTTACAACAGCCTGTCTTTTGTTTTCCTGTTGTGTTTGGTATGTCCCTCTGTTCCCCCCTCCTTTTCTGGTGTTAGTTGGTCCAATTTTTAGCTAGATACTTCCTTGCTTTCTCTGCTGCTCAGGTGTTCGTTTCAGTTTCCAAGCAGAGCTAGGCTTAGGAAAGTAATTCTCTTCTTACACTTCAAAAGACTGGATAAACAGCCTCTGTTGTTCACTTATCCTAAATTGGAACTAAAATTGCACTGTCACATGCAGCAAGCAGACCGGTTCTTTATCTGCAGAGGACACATGAAATATCTCTTCTGCGATAAATACACCTACCAGCCTGCTCGCTGTCTTCTCCGGCACGTAAACTGACATCGCACTGAAAGCTCACACCGCCGGCATGGCCCATGTGTCCTAGCATGACTGACTCCTGTGCAACTGACTTCCATGCCTGCCAATGAAGATGGCTGAAGACTGGCACCCAGGAGATGCCAATGCGGGACTGGGACCGTTGAAGAAAAGGTAAGTTTAGCTCCACTTTAAGAAAAATTGCTAAACTTAAAATGGAGCTCCACCCAAAAGGGGAAGTTCCTCTTTAAGGACTGCTCCCCCCGCTCCCCATTAAGGATTGGCACCTTTGGGGGGGCGGGTACCCGAATTTGAAAGATACCCGCTCCCACTTCCGGTCGCCTAGCGGAAGGTGTCCTCCCTCCCTCTAGTCTTTTGGGACATGTGACAGGTCCCAGAAGAATACAGGACCATTCATGAAGCGCAGCAGTACTCGCGCATGCACAGTGGGTACCCAATTTGTGAAGCCGCAAGCTGTCACAGCTGGGTGCGCACACTGAAGATGCCGGCCTCCTGGAATACAGGACAGCTGGTGAAACGGGCTGCGGGGGACACACTGAGGGACAGGTAAGTGGCGGGTGTTTAAAAGTCAGCAGCTACATTCTTTTATTTTTTGACAGGTTGAGTGGATCTTAGCTTTAACATTTGTGTCTTATTAAAGAGTTAAGCTGCCTGTGGATAGTGCCAAGTCAGCAAGTGGATTAACTGTCTGCACAGACTGGATCTAAGGAGGTATATTTTTGCATGAAACTGAAAAATGGATACTTGTGTTAACCTAAAGATCCTAGAAATGCTGAGTGCCTTTCGAGTAGCAGATGGCCTGTGTATAGGTTGCCCAAGATAACAGGTGTTTTTTGTGCCCAATAGTGGCTTTGGCATAGCCATCTAAATTTATACCACCTGGGGCTTGCTGGGGGCTGTGGGAACAAACTTAATCAAGGACTATGGCTTAAAGGACACCTGTCATAGGAGAAATAGAAGAGAAATAAGAAAGGCTGCCATTACTAATCCTGAAAATGTTAGTTGCCAAGCTGTCACGTCACTTGCTTTATCTTCAGAACCAGGGGCGGACTGACAACTCATGGGGCCCCCGGGCAATAGGGAATCACGGGGCCCCTGTGTCCTTGCCCACACTCAAAGCACACCCAAAAAAGCCTATAAAAAAAGGTAACGGGCATTTCATGGGGCCCCCTACTGACGCCGGGCTCTCGGGCAGTGCCCAAGTGCTCGAATGGTCAGTCCGCCCCTTTTCAGGACTTACTCCTTTTCTCTGACTTATTTTGCTGTGGCTTTATCCTGGGTCTCTGCCTCAGAAGTACTGGCATAACCTATGAAAAATGACAGTCTCTGTATTTATCTTATGACCGGTATACCGTAAAGGGCTCGTTCACATAAGTGGTGTCCTCTGAAGAGCGATCGCTTTTTTAGAGGGCATTTGACGGGTGGCAAGGACGTTCTATGTCGCTTCCTGTCTGATTTAACCCTATAATTGCCACATTAAAAAGCCACAATTGCATGCAGTTGTGGAACGGGGCCCACAGAACTGCATTAGTTGTGTTCGGCTGGTCAGTTTTATTGATAAAATGCAGTGTGTTCAATCAGACGTTCATTGTTTCCATGTTTTCCATCACAAATACCAAGTACTGTCACAACAACACTGTTCTCTTGTATACTGACCACATTTTTTATTCCTTCCGGACAAAGACTGTCTCCCAAACCTAACAGCAGATTTGGCTCATCCGAACAGCACTGGAGCTAAAAGAGAAAAGATAGCAGAAAGATTGACAGCTAGTCAAAATGACCCTAAAAATAACAGGAAAAAAAAAAATATCTTCATGCTGAATGAAGTGTGATTATTCACCCCCCCCCCCCCCCCCCCCCCCCCCCCCCCCCCAGATAAGAACCCTCTCCCCTCCCCCACCTCTTTTTTTCCACCTTTCCCTAAACCCCCCCCCCCCCTTTTTTTCTCGTTTTGTTTCCTTTCTATTCCTTTTCTTTTTACCTGCTTTGCTTTCTGTTTTAATTTAACAATAAACATAAAAAACCGGCCCTGGGGCAGTACCATTATTTCCCCCTCAGGGATGCGCAGTTCCATATTTCGCAGATACAGGGTTCAGGTGGCTCAGGACATATATGTTGACTTTTTATTGGTGATATCATTGCCTATTGGGCTTTATTGTTTTTTTTCTTTATTATTATTATTATACAGGATTTATATAGCGCCAACAGTTTGCTCATCTCTTTACAATATAACGGGAGACAATACAGCAACAATACAGTTCAATACAAGAGGGATAGGAGGGCCCTGCTCCTTGGAGCTTACAATTCTTTAAAGATTTACTCTCAGGATTGGTATTTTGGCCCAGCATGTCATACTGTAGACGTTCTGTTTTGTCTTTTGCTTTAAATATCCTGGTGTTGCACTGACTCTAGTATCTGGAAACGTTTATGTTATCTGTCATTGTTGAAGCCTTGTGTTAATAAACTTAAATTTGGGGAAAAAAAGATATCTACAAACATTTATTTATTTCAGGTACTTATATAGTGCTGTCAATTTACGCAGCACTTTACATATATATTGTACATTTACATCAGTCCCTAACACTCAAGGGGCGTACAATCTAAGGTCCCTAACTCACATTCATACATACGCATATTAGGACCAATTTAGACAGGATCCAATTAACCTACCAGCATGACTTTGGAGCATGGGAAGAAACCAGCGTACCCGGAGGAAACCCATGCAGACACAGGGAGAACATGCAAACTCCAGGCAGGTTGTGCCGTGTTGGGATTCGAACCAATGACCCGAGTACTGCCAGGCAGAAGTGCTAACCATTTAGCCACTGTGCTGCCCCGAATATAACTGTAGAACAAAGGCACTCAGTATTTATTAAGCCCTGGCTCACATATATGTGGCCATGCGAACCATCTGGACATGGAACCAGGGGCGGACTGACCATTTGGAAACTCGGGCACTGCCCGATTGCCCAGGGTCAGAAGGGGGCCCCATGAGATGCCCCTGGTACCTTTTTCATAGGCCTTTTTGAGTTTGGGCAAGGGCACAGGGGCCCCATGATCCCCTATTGCTCAGGGGCCCCATGAGTTGTCAGGCCGCCCCTGCATGGAACAGATATAAAAACGCTTATAAACGCAAACGCTCATAAACCCGGTTAACCACATTTACATGCGTTTAGTGTTTGAAACGCCGGTAAAATCTACTCTTGAACGCAAGTTTGGTGCGTTCAAAAAAACGACTGTAAACTCAACTGCCTGTAAATAACGATTTGTTCATGGACACATAGGAAAACATTAGGAAGCAGGGGCAGACTGACAACTCATGGGCCCCACGGGCGATAGGGGATCATGGGGCCCCTGTGTCCTTGCTCAAACTCAAAAAAGCCTATGAAAAAGGTACCAGGGGCATCTCATGGGGCCCCCTACTGACCCCGGGCCCTCGGGCAGTGCCCGAGTTTCCAAATGGTCAGTCTGCCCGTTAGGGAGAGTTCAGGGGCTGCTGAAAAAAAAAAAAGGCTGAACAGCTCCGGAACGTCAGTTTAGGAGCTGCAGTGTACATGAGCACTAAGTGTCCAGGTACAAAAATAGGATTTTCGTACTCATTGTAAAATCATTTTTTTGGGAGTCCATTGAAAGACACAGGAATTTTCCTGGAATTGGTTGTATTACCCAAGAGTATCAGACTTCCCTCAGTGGGTGATAAAGAAAATAGGATTTTTGTACTCACTGTAAAATCCTGTGTCCTCAATGGGTTTTAAAGGAGAAGAAGGGCCAAAGCTATTTTGGCTATACTTCTACTGCGGGATTACAGGAGTGCACTTCGTTCTGCATTCCTGTGACCCTGTATTCAACTGACAGCGGGTAAAGTCTACTGACGTCACAGAGACAGGCCAGACTCTAGACCCCTCAAATGCTTGGACCAGGAGCTGGCTCAGCCACTCAGCAAGCTGCTTAGAACCTTTGCCATTAGCTCCTGCCCCCTCCACAGCCCGGTGCTTAAGTGAGCGCTAGAGGGGCAGAAGGGAGAGCTGATGACTGAGACACTGGCTTTCTGCAGGCTAAAGACTGCAAATCGATTGATGAGCAGTGTTTGATTGCTCGGTTCTCAGTCTTAGATGATGATGTTGCATTCACCTGTTGGTCTTTTTACAATCTGAACTTCTCTTTTAAATCCCAATGCATTGCAGTTCAGTACATGTGTTTTCAGATGTACGGTTAGGTCCATAAATATTTGGACACAGGCACAGTTTTCTTTTGGCTCTGTATGCCACCAGAATAAATTAAAACGAAACAATCCAAATGAATTTGAAGTGCAGACTTTCAGCTTTAATTCAAGGGGTTGAACATAAATATCAAGTACAAACATTAGGAACTGCAACCATTTTTATACACAGTCCCTCCATTTTCAGGGGCTCAAATGTAATTGGACATTTGAATATAATCATAAATAAAATGTTAATTTTTAATATTTTGTTGAGAATCCTTTACTGGCAATGACTGCCTGAAGTCTGGAACCCATGGACATTACCAAAGCCTGAGTTTCCTCCTTTCTGATGCTTTGCCAGGCTCTAACTGCAGCTGTCTTCAGTTGTTTGTTTCAAAAGCTCCTGGGTTGCTTTTGCAGTGTGTTTTGGATCACTGCCCATCTGTACTGTGAAGCGCCATCCAATCAACTTTCCTGAATTTGACTGAATCTGGGCTGACAGTATATCTATCTCGAAACACTGCAGAATTTGTCCGGTTGCTTCTGTCACATCATCAATAAACACCAATGACCCAGTGCCACTGGAAGCCATGCAAGCCCATGCCATCACACTGCCTCCACCATGTTTTACAGATGATGTTGTGTGCTTTGGATCATGAGCTGTTCCAAGCCTTCTCCACACTTTTTTCTTCCCATCATTCTGGTACAGATTAATCTTAGTTTCATCCATCCAAAGAATGCTTTTCCAGAACTGGTCTGGCTTTTTTAGTTGTTTTTTTGGCAAAGTCTAATCTGGCTTTTCTAGTCTTCAGGCTTATGAATGGTTTGCACCTTGTGGTGAACCCTCTGTCTTTGCTCTCATGAAGTCTTCTCTTGATTGTAGACTTTGACAATGATACGCCCACCTCCGGGAAAGTGTCCTTCACTTGTCTGGATGTTGTAAATGGGTTTTTCTTTACCATAGAGAGGATACTGCGATCATCCACCACTGTTGTCTTCCATGGACATCCATGCCTTTTTATGTTGCTGAGCTCACCAGTGCATTCTTCTTTCCTCACAATGTACCAAATTGTTGATCTGGCCACTCCTAATGTTGCTGCTATCTCTCTGATGGATTTGTTTCATTTTTGGAACCTTACAATGGCCTGTTTCACTTGCATGGACAGCTCCTTTTAACGCTTGACGTAGGTTCACAGCAATAGAATCCAAATGCAAATACCGCACTTAGAATCAACGCCAGACCTTTTACCTGCTTAAGTGATGAAGAAAAAATGAAGGAGTAGCCCACACCTGGCCATGAAACAACTTTTGATTCAATTGTCCAATTACTTTTGGTCCCTTGAAAAAGGGAGGTTGGCTACCTTTAAGAGTTGTAATTCCTAAACCCCTCCTGCAACTTGGATGTACATACCTTCAAATTAACCCTGAAAGTGTGCACTTTCAGCCTTTATCCATTATATAACTATAGCCTGAATATGTATTGGTAAATACCTGAAAAAAACTAAAATTGTGCCTGTGTCCAAATATATATGGACCTAACTGTATGTCTTGTGGTGTGTTGAGATCAGATGCACTGTTTACTACATGGATGCATGTTGGGGGTCTATTAAAAGATGAATAGGAGTGCCCCCTAAACTTTGTGGCATGATGGGACTTGTAGTACTGAGGGATAGGACTGCAGTGGCCTTTGAAAAACAGTACAAGTAGACTCATCACTGTACCACATGTTCCATTTTGTTTCAAGTATGTCTTACTGTCTCATGAAAGACTTTGACCACGGGTCTAGCCTTTTCTTTCTCTTCTTTCTTGCCATTCTTTGCTTGCTCATAAGCTTCATCATAGAACTGTTTTATTTCCTTGGACACCTGAGGAGGAGAAAATTATGAAATTGTATCTGGAACATCACACAGCCTCGTTTTAGTGTCTAAACTGTTTCTGGAAATCTGCATTATCCAAAGCAACCAGATTCTCCCTCTTCATCTCCCAGTGCAGTATGACAGAGTGAAAAGAAAAATCCAACATAACTAGAGGCAACTGGACTATCACTGGATAGTCCCTCTTAGTACCTGACATGGTGGCCTGCCCAGTGCCTGATGACAGGTTAACACAGAAAATCTCCCCAAGATCAACAAACCACAAATTCACCTTCACTGCAAGACTGTTTCTCTTCCTGGTTATTTGTTGCTTTAGCTATTCCTTTATTCATGATCTCAGCTACAAGTCAGTACTGCTACTCCCATGGGCTGTAATCCTTGTAACAAACCCTGCTTACTCTCTCCTAGCACTGTAGTAGTAGATATTAGGGCCTGATTTATAATCCCCCCTCCATAAGGCCTACTGTCTTGTGTGGCCTGTCGCACCCCAATCAGATGGCTAGTTTTATCAATCTAGCAAGATCTATGTCCTATGCCAACAAGGCGGGCCACAGTCCAGGGTGAAGAGGCTGATAGAGACAGATTGCCCACTCTGAATCCATTGTAGCTATGCAGCTCCAAACTTACCTCTTTCATTGTGCCTCCAGTTCCTTCAATTGTATGTCTAGGAGTGCATCTCCACTCAGCTGCGCCGCTTGTCAAATACAGTTGTGCTCAAAAGTTTGCATACCCTTTCAGAAATTGTGAAATTATGGCATTATATTGAAAATATGACTGATCTAGCCAAAAAACTGTCTTTTATTTAAGGTTGGTGATTATAAGAAACCATTTATTATCACATAGTTGTTTGGCTCCTTTTTAAATCATATTGATAACAGAAATCACCCAAATGGCCCTGATCAAAAGTTTACATACCCTGGAATGATTGGCCTTGGTACAGACGCACAAGGTGACACACACACAGGTTAAAATTGCAATTAAAGGTTCATTTCTCATATTTGTGACTTTTTACATTACATTTAGTGTCTGTGTATATAAAATAGTCAGTTTGTTAGCGCTCAGATTAATGCACTGAGCAGGCTAGATACTGAGCCACGGGGAGCGGAAAAGAACTGTCAAAAGACCTGCACAACAAGGTAAATGGAACTTTATAAAAATGGAAAGGGATACAAAAAAATATCGTAAATCTTGAATATGCCAGTCAGTACTGCTGCTCAAGCACTTGTAAGAAGTGTAAGGTTAGGGATCTCTTGATCCCAAGCCAAGGTCAGGTAGACCAAGAACGATTGCAGCCACAACTGCCAAAAGAATTGTTCAGGATACAAAGAAAAACCCACAGGTAACCTCAGAATAAATTATAGGAATGCTCTGGAAAAAGACAGTTTTTTTTTTTTTTTTTAAGTAGAACAATATGAAAATACTTGAACAAAAATTTAGCTGTATGGTTGAGTTGCCAGAAAGAAGCCTTTACTGCACCAATGCTACAAAAAAGCCTGGTTACAATATGCCTGATATCTTGACATGCCTCACCAGGCTTTTTTGTAGCACTGGTGCAGTAAAGGCTTCTTTCTGGCAACTCGACTATACAGCTTATATTTTTTCAAGTATTGTCATATTGCGCTCCTTGAAACAACCACACCATCTTTTTCCAGAGCAGCCAGTTTTTCTCCTGAGGTTACCTTTTCCTTGGGTTGTTCTTTGTATCCCAAACAATTCTTCTGGCAGTTGTGGCTGCAAACTTCCTTGGTCTACCTGACCTTGACTTGGTATCAAGAGATCCCCAAACATTCCACTTCTTTAATAAGTGATTGAACAGTACCGAATGGCATATTCAAGGATTTGGATATCTTTTTATATCCCTTTCCATCTTTCTCTAAAAGTTCGATTACCTTTTTCACCATGTCTTTTGACAGTTCTTTTCCTGCATCTCATGGGCTTATTATCTAGCCTGCTCAGTGCATCCACCTGAGAGCTAACAAACTATTTATACACAGAGACTAATTGCAATGTAAAAAAAATCACATATGTAGAAAATTAACTTTTAATTGCCATATTAACCTGTCTGTGTCACCTTGTGTGTCTGTACCAAGGCCAATTATTCCAGGGTATGTTAAACGTTTGACCATGGCCATTTGGGTGATTTCTATTATCATTATGATTTAAAAAGGAGCCAAAACAACTATGTGATAATAAATGGCTTCATATGATCACCATCTTTAAATAAAAGAGTTTTTTGGCATGATCCGTCATATTTTCAATATAAATGCCAAAATGTAATGACTTCTGCCAGGGTATGCCAACTTTTGAGCACAACTGTAGATATGAACTGTGCAAAATGATGCGTCACCGAGACAAAACCAGCATTAATATAATAAAGGATTTACAACATAGTTTTGCCTGTTCACCAACCACTCCAACGCGTTTCACCCCACTGAGGGCTTAAACATGGAGACACATGGGGGTGGGGTAAAAAAACACTGGAGCAAGAAGTGGACTGGCAAGACTATATTTTGGGAATCCTCTATTATATTAAAGCTGGTTTTACATTGGTGACAACATAATTTATTTCTACTTGACAAGTGTCACCCTACTGTGCTAACTATGTAGTTTCTAGGTGTACAGACCCAAAGTGGCTGAAGTGTAAGTACACAGTACATGGCTGCATAAATAGGATGGCACAAGCACTATAGGGACCGCAACCATAAGGACCCAGTTCAACTAGACTGGCAATTAACACTCAGCGGCATGATATGTTGGTGATTATGTTCCGCTCCTGGATGTCATGCCATCTAAGGCCATGGAATATATTGGCAATGCAGAAATCAGGCCCTTTTATGAATCTAAAGTTGTTGTAAAGGCTGAAGATAAAAAAAAAAAAAAACCTGTGTGCATCCCCCCAGCCCCCTCAATACTTACCTGAGCCTCATCATGATCCATCGTGATACAGCCAATCAGACAATGAGGGGACAGATAGGGGGCGGGGTCAAGCCGTGGCTCCGTGTGTGAATGGACACACGTAGCAGTGGGTGCCCCCATAGCAAGCTGCTTGCGGTGGTGGCACCCGACAGACAGGAGGAGCCAGGAAAGCCTGCAGGAGGCCCGAGAAGAGGAGGATCCAGGCTGCTCTGTGCAAAATCACTGCACAGAGCAGATAAGTATAACATGTTTGCTATTTCCCAAAAAAAAAAAAATGAACCTTTAAAATCGCTTTGAAGTCCAGGCTAATAATTCAATATCCATTACACTATTATAAAAAATCTCTTGTATTAAAAGAGAAGTATAGTCAAAGAGTTTTTGGACAAATTTCTCTTGTGGGTCACATTTAGTTTTCTACCCAAGCTATTGTCCACTTTTAGCTGATGGGACAGAGCTACACCAGCTCACAAGGGATCCCAACAATTTTATCTCTTCCCCAGGCCGTTGCTCCAGTGAGCACTGAAGGATCAGAGAGGAGAACGATGACTTACTATCAGTGCTCTCCGCTTAGAGCAAACCAAGAACTGAGTGATCAATAGTCATGTGATTGCTCAGTGCTCAGTGTTAATAGTCAGTGTCAGACAGCTGCAGCAGCACACAAATACAGTCAGGTCCATAAATATTGGGACATCGACACAATTCTAACATTTTTGGCTCTATACACCACTACAATGGATTTGAAATGAAACGAACAAGATGTGCTTTAACTGCAGACTGTCAGCTTTAATTTGAGGGTATTTACATCCAAATCAGGTGAATGGTGTAGGAATTACAACAGTTTGCATATGTGCCTCCCACTTGTTAAGAGATCAAAAGTAATGGGACAATTGGCTTCTCAGCTGTTCCATGGCCAGGTGTGTGTTATTCCCTCATTATCCCAATTACAATGAGCAGATAAAAGGTCCAGAGTTCATTTCAAGTGTGCTATTTGCATTTGGAATCTGTTGCTGTCAACTTTCAAGATGAGATCCAAAGAGCTGTCACTATCAGTGAAGCAAGCCATCATTAGGCTGAAAAAAACAAAACAAACCCATCAGAGAGATAGCAAAAACATTAGGCGTGGCCAAAACAACTGTTTGGAACATTCTTAAAAAGAAGGAATGCACCAGCGAGCTCAGCAACATCAAAAGACCCGGAAGACCACGGAAAACAAATGTGGTGGTTGACCGAAGAATTCTTTCCCTGGTGAAGAAAACACCCTTCACAACAGTTGGCCAGATCAAGAACACTCTCCAGGAGGTAGGTGTGTGTGTGTCAAAGTCAACAATCAAGAGAAGACTTCACCAGAGTGAATACAGAGGGTTCACCACAAGATGTAAACCATTGGTGAACCTCAAAAACAGGAAGGCCAGATTAGAGTTTGCCAAAAGACATCTAAAAAAGCCTTCACAGTTCTGGAACAACATCCTATGGACAGATGAGACCAAGATCAACTTGTACCAGAGTGATGGGAAGAGAAGAGTATGGAGAAGGAAAGGAACTGCTCATGATCCTAAGCATACCACCTCATCAGTGAAGCATGGTGGTGGTAGTGTCATGGCGTGGGCATGTATGGCTGCCAATGGAACTGGTTCTCTTGTATTTATTGATGATGTGACTGCTGACAAAAGCAGCAGGATGAATTCTGAAGTGTTTCGGGCAATATTATCTGCTCATATTCAGCCAAATGCTTCAGAACTCATTGGACTCCGCTTCACAGTGCAGATGGACAATGACCCAAAGCATACTGCAAAAGCAACCAAAGAGTTTTTTAAGGGAAAGAAGTGGAATGTTATGCAATGGCCAAGTCAATCACCTGACCTGAATCCGATTGAGCATGCATTTCACTTGCTGAAGACAAAACTGAAGGGAAAATCCCCAAGAACAAGCAGGAACTGAAGACAGTTGCAGTAGAGGCCTGGCAGAGCATCACCAGGGATGAAACCCAGCATCTGGTGATGTCTATGCGTTCCAGACTTCAGGCTGTAATTGACTGCAAAGGATTTGCAACCAAGTATTAAAAAGTGAAAGTTTGATTCATGATTATTCTGTCCCATTACTTTTGGTGCCTTAACAAGTGGGAGGCACATATGCAAACTGTTGTAATTCCTACACCGTTCACCTGATTTGGATGTAAATACCCTCAAATTAAAGCTGACAGTCTGCAGTTAAAGCACATCTTGTTCGTTTCATTTCAAATCCATTGTGGTGGTGTATAGAGCCAAAAATGTTAGAATTGTGTCGATGTCCCAATATTTATGGACCTGACTGTAGCTCTTCCACTGAGCTCTGCAGTTCTTAATTTCAGCTCTCCGCCATGTTTTCTGAAAGCTCAGACACGCTGTATAAATTCTGTACTTTAAACAGCTGTAGATAAGAGAACTGCAGATCAACAGGTACAACTAATGTAGGAGGATTTGTTTCATCTTTGTGTATCACCTGATGCCAGTCACTTCACTGGGTATATGTAAGGGTTTACAACCACTTTAAAGTACAACTGAATATGGAGGCTGCTTTTCTCTTCTTTTTGAAATGCTATTTGCTTGGTTCTCATACTTTTCTTTCAATGCTTTCTGAGCCACTGACCCAGAACAAGTATGCAGATAAGGATTTGTTTTTACTTTTCTCCAACTTTTCAGATCTAAATAATTGTTCTGTTCAGTTAATCAGAAAATCTTGAGGACAGTGGGTCACCATTATCAGCCAGGTAACTAGCATTTTCAGGAGACGGGAATTAACAGCCCATATATTTTTCTCTGTATACTAAACTTTGTGAATAATTAGCTCCGTCCAGTGATGTGATGTTCATTAGGTCCCTTGCTGGTGCTGAACTCTTCTCCCTGGCTTCTTCTGGGTACTGGGTCTTCATCTGTCTTGAGTGGCCAGCCAGGGAATGATGTAACGCCTGCGCATGCACGCAGGAGTTCATTCATTCCAGTGCCAAGACCTCAGTCACGCTTAGACGATTCACACCACAATGCGGTGCGGGAAAGGCCCATTCTGTGCGAGTTTCCTGCACTGCATTTGTGATCTGCTGCAGGTGCCAATACATTTTTATTGCAAACTGCAAACATAGTGTGTTTGCAGTCACCAGATCGCATGATTTCACAGTACACTTGGTGCAGCATGTTTTTCAAAAGTAAAGCATGCAGTACTTTTTGTGCAATTTGCAGTCCATTTAAATCAATGGGCTGCAAAATCGCATTGCAGGGGAATACACAGGAATCAAACAAGAATGCAGACCGTGTTCCTATGCGATTATTGTGTAAACTGGCCCTCAAAACAGTGCAACCTACAGCATCTGTTCAGAATTTACTCTGAGATCAGGCCATTACAAAACGAATTCTGATTGCTTGCAATGGATTACTGTGCTTATGACTTGGCACCATTTATTGAATAAGACTGTATGATACAAGATTGAAACTAAACAAGGGACATTTATTTTCAGTACAGCATTGCTCTTACCTGTTCGCGGTTTACGAAGCCCCAGATTCCAGCAGCTACCTCACATGCGAATAGGATTACTAAGCAGGCAAAGAACTGTAGAAATATAATATAGGTTAGAAGATTATTTTTAGATTATGTAGAATTACTAACAACGTCCCAAGTTTCTAGTGAATTACCAGGCCTGAAGATAATTTGGCGTGGACCTTACCCTGGCTTTATTTGGAATCCACATAGAAATCTATGAGGAATCACCCCACCACAGACTGACAGGTCCCAGAAGTGGTTTAGACTGATTTAAAAGCCCATTATGTGAACACACTTACTCACAGATACTCTTTAAGCTAACATAATGGCTGACTGGTATGCTTAAATGACAGGTACACTTTAAAAGCACACAGAGTTATTAAGTGGATTAATAACTAAGATAAGAGGAGAGAAGCTGACATCAGAGATACAAATCATCCTCACAGTCTCCGGTGAGCTGCCTTGGATTTATACACGGTGTATGTACATGTCTAAGACCTCTGAGGATTTATCACCTTCCTTGCTGGAGCACTCTCCATCAGGCTGGTAATAAGTGGATGGCCGTGTCTGGAATATGCTGGACTTATTAAATGAATTAATGCAGACACTGCAGCGCCAAGACAATCTCAGAGTGAGACTCTTCTCCCCAGCAACACCATCACTTAATATAGGGCACATTGACTTTGACTTACTGTTCCCAACAGGCACTGTGATTCCTGAATGGCGCCATAACATCCTAGGAAACCTACAAACATCATGACGGCACCGACTGCAATGATTATATAGATACCTAGAAAAAAAGAATGAACACAGATGTCAATCATGTAAGGGAATTGGTGGCGTGCTATATTGTTTACTTTTATGCCAATATTCGCACAAATAGCTGATCTTTTTGCAGTATATGGCCTCATTCACACAGATGTTTGGAGGTGCAGGCAGAGTCTGGTTTAAAAATCGCAAAAAGTGTTTCCGGGGGTGCCAACAACTGGGTACTATGGGTCACATTTGGTGGACTTGCCCTAAGGTTAGCAGATTGTGGATGTGTGCCCTTCTCCACACTATGTTACACGCAGACATTAAACGTAACCCGTACGAAGCGCTCCTATTTAAACCACTGGAGGGCCTTCTCCGCCCTGAACGGCAGCTGGCATCACATTTATTTATGGCTACTAAACTGACTATCGCGAGACCTTGGAAGACTCCTCTTCTCAGTTTCGAGGCTGTCAAAAATCGGATGAACTTCATAATGGTCAATGAAAAATTGACAGCTATACTGTTGGATACCCATACAAAATTCCTGGAGGTATGGCACCCCTGGCGGAAGCCACCCCCATCGAGATTCGACCAGTTCCTAATGTCGATTTGAGGATTGATTCTGTTGCGATCACCCTGGAGCCCTCTTGTGATTGTATTTGTTTTTATGTCTTGGTTTTGTCCTCGTTTTTTTGTCGTCTGTTTCCTTCTATTCTTCTGTCCAATCTCTTCTTATGCGAATTGTAATGACTGTGCTCATTGCTCTAAGTGCTACATCAGCAATACTGCTTGTGCGATCCGGACTCCTGTGTAAGCCCGAGGTCTGGAATATATATGTTAATATCTTGAGGGACCTTCCCTCTGGCCTATCCGGTTTTTCATACGCTGGTATAGCAAAAATTTCGGGTGGAGTGTGCATTTTCATTGACCTTCAAATGTTAGCTCATTGCTTCCCCCTCACCCTTCTCCCCCCCCCCCTTTTTTTTTTTCCCTGTCCATCCCCACATGATATTTAAAAGCTCAGATTATGTTTATGCTTATACCAGTATATTGTTCTGTAATGTTTCTAAAAATGCCCTATATGCTCCATATTTGCGGGTCAATGTATATCTTCCCCGAATGTGTGTACATTTCTGCTTCTTCTATAATAATACCCTTTGTAAAAGAAAAATCACAAAAAGATGGCAGTTGACTAGTGCAAAACCGCCTGAGAAGTGGTTAATCAAATCCTATGCGGAGTAATATATTACTAAAAATGTAAATGTGATATTGTATTTATTCGATCACTTAGATCATGAAAAAGGTTGACATTGACAGAGTGAACATGTTGCAATCACATTAAAATCAAAGAATTAAAATAAAGAACCGTTCGACGTCTTCAAAAACGGCTGTATAGGCAAAAAATTACCAATATGAGGCAATGGAGTTTTCTTTCTGTATTCATCTGCAGTGAAGTTCCATATATAGTAGCCTAGTTAAAAATCTTGGCGTTTTGGCACATATACAGTGAAAGAAATAATTATTTGATCCCCTGCTAATTTTGAATGTTTGCCCACTCACAAAGAAATGATCAGTCTAAAAATCGAATGGTAGGTGTATTGTAACACTGAGAGACAGAATAGCAACAAAAAATTAAAAAGAAATGCATGTCTAACAAATGATGCACTGATTTGCATGTTCATGAGGGAAATAAGTATTTGATCCCCTTCACAAAACATGACTTAGTACTTGGTGGCCAATCCCTTGTTGGCAATCACAGAGGTCAGACATTTCCTGTACCGTATTTTCCGGTGTATAAGGCGACTGGATGTATAAGACGACCCCCTAATTTTCCAGTTAAAACATAGGTTTTGGGCTATACTCGCCGTAAAAGACTACCCCCCTTCCGAGGCAACACCATTTAAAAACATCATATTTTTTTATTGAAATGGTTGTGACCAGGGGCGGACTGACCATTTGGAAACTCGGGCACTGCCCGAGGGCCCGGGGTCAGTAGGGGGCCCCATGAGATGCCCCTGGTACCTTTTTCATAGACTTTTTTGAGTTTGGGCAAGGACACAAGGGTCCCATGATCCCCTATTGCCCGGGGGCCCCATGAGTTGTCAGTCCGCCCCTGGCTGTGACTTACCGGTACTTAAAATCCTTCAAAATCCATGATTGGCCCAGTGTATACTGTATGTAGCCGCAGCTACCGTACATACACACATCCAGCGGGCTGATTACAGTAGGGACGTACCGGTACGTTTTGAAACCGATTGGCTCACCGCACATCCAGCAGGCTGACAGATGAATCTGTCATAGGGACATTTGTTTTGAGCCAGCTTGGCTCAGCACGGTATACTGTATGTACATTACCACACATCCAGCCAGCTTGACCCAAACAAACTCAAGGTTCACATTTTATACCCCGCGTATAAGACGACCCCCAATTTTTGGGGTATATTTTTAAGTATAAAAAGTAGTCTTATACGCCAGAAAATACTGTAGTTGGCCACCAGGTTTGCACACATCTCAGGAGGGATTTTGGCCCACTCCTCTTGGCAGATCCTCTCCAAGTCAGTAAGGTTTGGTGGCTGACATTTAGCAACTCGAACTTTCAGCTCCCTCCACAGATTTTCAATCAGATTAGTGTCTGGAGACTGGCTAGGCCACTCCAGGACCTTAATGTGCTTCTTCTTAAGCCACTCCTTTGTTGCCTTGGCCATGTGTTTTGGGTCATTGTCATGCTAGAACACCCATCCACGACCCATTTTCAATGCCCTGGAAGAAGGTTCTCACCCAAGATTTGACGGTACATTGTCCCGTCCATCATCCCTTTGGGCAAACATTCAAAATCAGCAGGGGATCAAATACTTCCTTCCTTCACTGTAGCTGCCTGTAGCTGGATGAATGGCTATATGCTCTTGTACTTGTGTAAACACTAAAGCTTTTTTGCATTGGCATTTACCCCGCATGCACGTAGGAAGTATTCCCTCAAAGTCTTGCTTTTGATAAATACGTCAATGCCAGGTAAACACAGATGCAAAAAAAATCAACACTTATATGAACACAAGCGCATAGAGCCACTCACCTCTATAGGTAGCTGTACATGCCATTTGTAGTACCCCCCATCCATGGATAAATGGTGGGGTTTTATGCTGGATCATCCTTGCTCCTCCAAATGCCCATGTGAATGAGGCCTAAATCACACAGACTTCAGGATGTTTATACAAGAAGCTACACTGCACCATAGAGAAGCACACTCCTGTGAGTAAGTCCATTAAAATGTATGGGAAACACCGATGAACCTCTCTCCTGCCTGATGACTGCCTCCTGGATGAGAAGCAGCAGCATGCACATAAGTCAACAAAACTGCTCGCTCTGCCTTTCCCTCAGCCAGAGGGATGACATGAGGCCATTATTAAGATTTAGTTAGTTATGTTTGTTTTATTTAAATATTAATATATTTATTTCTAGGACCTGAACTCAAGACAAACAGTGAAATGAAAGCATGAGAGTTGCCAAAAGATTTGTATATGTATCCATACAGTCCTCAGATTTACACAACTCTGCCACACAGTACACCCCTGGAAGGGAACCTGATTTTCCCTATTGCAGTTAAGTAAAATTTACATGTCTTGTCCCTCCCCTAGCCTGTAGCTGGCCAGTGAAAGGGTCAGCAGCAGATTGATGAGCTTATCTCTCTGCTCTCTCCTCCTATCAGCATGCTCCTTGCCCTGCAGCTCTTTGTGCTGCTTCTCCTCACCCCCAAATGAGTCCTGCGGTAAAGGGACTGCAACAAGTTGATACCAAGTCAAAATTTAGGTACTTACAGTGATTACAGAAAAATGGTGTCTTATTTCTGCCTGGAGTTTAGCTGTAAAGGAGAAGTACAGCCAAAGCTCTTTGGGTCATACTCCTCCAATAGGTCATAGGAGTGCACTTAGTTCTGCACTCCGGCAACCCATTTTTAGCCGACAGAGGCCGGAAGCCCGCTGTTGGCACATGTCACAGAGCCAGTACAGGCTCTAGAAGGATCCTGACCATATTGTCGGGATCCGCCCAGAAGCCTGTCCAGCAGCTGACTCAGCCTCCTGCCCCCTCCACAGCCCAGTATTCCAGTGACAGCTGGAGGGGCAAAGCAGAGAACTGGAGATTGACAGTCACTAGCTCTCCACAGACTGAAAACCGAGAGCTGAGCGGTCAGCGGTCTTTGATCACTCAGTTCTTGGTCTTATAGGCAGCGGGGGATGGGTGCAGCATTGTAGTGATGCTGCATCCACATAGGTGAGCCTGGGGGGCCAGTTCGCACTACAAAAACGCACTCTGGATACATTCCGGACACGTTTTTGCTTACAGTTCAGATCACATGCAGTTCGCTATGTTCCATTACAGTTCTGTGCAGAAAACATGCAGCAAGTTCTACTTTTTTTTCTGCACTGGAAACTGACTGGAACTGATGGCACTAGTGTGAACTAGGGCCACTGGAATACATGGAAAACACTGTGCATGCATTTTTGATGGAGAAAAAAAGCGCACTGAACTGCATCTAGTGTGAACTAGCCCTAAGGGCCGGTTCACACTATAGAAACGCAGATGCGTTTTTGAATGAATGTTTTTGATATATTTTTGACGCGTTCCAGTGCGTTTTTGACACATTCCAATAAAAATTTTTCCCCCCCGTTTTTAATTCACTTTAAACAGGTACATCTGCATTCCAGTGTGTTTCTGGTTTGTTTGGTGCGTTTTACTGCATTACAGTACAGTTCTGTGCAGGAAAAATGCAGCCTGTTCTACATTTTTTTATTCTTCAGCTGGAACACACTGGAACTGCAGGCACTGATGTGAACTATCACATTGACAACCATATAACCTACTTTCTGTGTGTTTTGAATGCAGAAAAGAAGCAACTGAAATGCATGGAGTGTGAACTGGGCCTCAATGTTTGTTTTTTTTTTAATCCCGAACCTCTCTTTTAAATGAATAAATAACTGCATCAAATCTTACATTGGCCTGGAGTTCCACTTTAAAATCAAAGGAGAGAAATTTGACAGCCATGTAAATGGGAAGATGTAAAAAAAAAAAAACACTGACCGATGTAAAAGGTTGCTGGAACCTGCTTGTCCCCGATTTGCTGGATCAGGAGGTTAGATGTCTTGGGCTCATGTCGAAGCCACAGTGCTACTCCAAGGATCACCCCACCTGCCAACTAAAGAAGAATTTGTAAATGATTAAGTGAACATAAAGTAGTCTGATAGTTATCAGGAGTTAGATGTGCCTTTATAAAGCATGGCATACACAACAGAAATGCTCAAAACATTTATCTATCTGACAGCAGCCCTATGTAAACCCTGAATACACCATCACAGCACATGAAAACTGCACCAAGGGACACCATCCAAGGAGGCCAGTACACATGCCAAATATGCACTTGCTTCACCCATTGTATATACTTCACACTGACAGTGATACAAATAGAGTTTGGGGGAGGCTGATGACTCTTAAGGGGCCAGGGCAGTTAAATACATTCTGACCTGTAAAATCTTTCACCAAAAACAAAGACTAATGCAGGCCATAGATGGGTCAAAAACCGGCCGTTTTTTTAACAAAAAAAAATATGAAAAATCGATTGTTCAATAGGCCGACGTTACCACCAATGGTAACAAAAAAAAAAAAAAATCAGCCGATTTTCGTCCCGTCTACAGCCAGCATTTAATTACTTCTGTCCCTGAAGAAAGCTCCGCTATTATATTTGACATGAAAAAGTAAAAAATCTGCGTATGAGCCATCACCTGCAAGAAGAAGAAGAAAAAAAGAAGAATTCCAGTCCGCTATTATATTTGACATGAAAAAGTATAGCAGTTGCAACATTGTATCTATTTGTATCCATTTCAGATACAGATGGTTTTATTCGGATACAAATAGATACATTGTTGCAACCACTATACTTTTTCATGTCAAATATAATAGCGGACTGGAATTCTTCTTTTTCTTCTTCTTCTTGCAGGTCATGGCTCATACGCAGATTTTTTACTTTTTCATGTCAAATATAATAGCGGACTGGAATTCTTCTTCTTCTTTCTCTTCTTCTTCTTTTTCTTGCAGGTCACGGCTCATGCGCAGATTTTTTATCGGTAAAAAGATCGGCCGAATTGCCCATCATTGCCGCAAAAATTGTCCGATCTGCAAAATCAAAAAAATGTTCCAAAATCCAGAAAAACGGCCAATCAATTAACCCATTAACTGTGTGAAAATCAGCCGATTTTTTATTTGGCCGAAAAATCAGCCGATTTTCTATTCATCTATGGCCTGTATAAGGGTCATCCATCATTGGGCTTTTCACTTCAAGCAGGATTTGCATTTGAAATTCCAGCAGGTTTGGAGGTCAGATGCACCTGTCAGTGAAGTCTGAATGGTGCCAAACTGATGCCATCAACACACGGCTAAAGTGGAACTTTAGTCAGAAAATAAAGCCTTACTAAACCCACAACAGTAAAACCAGTCTGTATTTGCAGTAAGGCATGCTTGTTATTCTCACTCTGGAACCTAAAGGGTTATTCCTCCACATTGTGTAAAAAAAGGCAGTTTGCTCCTGTCTTCTCTGATCCTCCCCTTCTACTTTCCACAATCCATTTGTTGATAGTACAGAGCCCTAGGAGGCACTCTGCACAAGCTCAGTTTAGTGTGTGTGTGGCTAGAGAGTTTTTATTATTTCTTTGGGAAGGTACATGTGATCAGCTCTGTCTAGACAGAGAATCGGGTTATGCAGCCTCATAGAACAAACAGAACAGAATGAAAATGCCTCCTACAAGCTTTAACCAGTGCTCAGCTGGACACTAATAGAAGTCACAAGACTGCTCTAACTGCTGATGAGAATAGGTATTTAACAGTTTATATTTACTAAAATAATTGCATTTCCATGCTCTGTGTATGGTGGGAGACCAGATATAGTGAATGCCGGGTCCTGGGTTTAGTATCATTTTAAGTCCTGGTAGATCATTGCAGGCTGGGCCCTTTTGCAGGTATAGCAATGTAGAACATTGAAAAAAAGTGTCTATACTGTTTAAAATCCAGTAATACACTCCTTCTCTGCACATGCTCAATTGCTCTCTCTATTGTTTGCCATTTTGCCTAAAATCAGAGCTACTAGAGGCCAATATGCTGACAGCCTAAAGATTTACTGCTGCTCAGGGGCTCTGGGCTTCAGCAAAATGGCAGCCTCCAGCAAGAAGAAACAGAAATAATGCTGGAGGCAATTTGCTGCACACACTACTTCTGGTGACATAATTATTAATGTGGACTGTATGTTCCTTTCCTAAAGAACAAATTTATTTATTTTTATCAGGCTGTTATGAGTAAAGTTCTGCTTTAAAGCCTGTTGACACAACACCTAATGTATTTTCAGTATGTACTTGAGTTATTATGGCAATGTTTACCTTAAAGTACGTTTTTAACCAACTTTCACACCTTTTTGAACTGACTTTCAAGAAAATGTTATTTTATTATTTATATAGATTTTTAGATTAGCCAGTAGAGGGAGCTCTCAGTGGTTCAGTATAAATATTTTGTGTCTTGCAACTGTTGAGATAGTTAAGTGATCAGACAGACAGCTAGCCATATATGACTCAAATTTTGACTGATTCCTGCTGAGTGGGCTGAAATTCAAGTCATGGGTGGCCCTGTTGCACCTCCTTGCTTGTCAAAATTCAATCTAAAAACTGAAGGAGTGGGACAGAAAATTGTCAGCGGATTAGTGATTGCATCCATCAGATGCAGACACCGTTCAGGAATTCAAGCAGCCATGGATTTTGCAGCCGTATGAATACGATCGTCAGCAGGAGAGATTCCTCCATCCACACTGACCAAAACTGGAGCCGTGGGTGCCCCTGTCAGCACCATCTGGCTCAACAAACTTTGATCTGAAATTTGAAGTAACAAATTAAAGTCTTACTAAAGGTTACATTTTATGGATTAAAATAAAAAAAAGATGTTATACTTACCTGCTTTATGCAGTGATATTGCACAGAGCAGTCCCATACCTCCTCTTCTGCCAGTCCATTCCTTCCTTTTTTACCAGCCAGGTGCTATGGAGGCACCTGTGTGAACATGCTCCCAAGCTGGGCTGTGTGAGTCCATAGACACACATAGCACTAGTAAGCCAACGCCCCTGCTCCCTCCTCAGGAGAGTTTGACTGACAACAGCAAGAGCCTATGGCTACTGCTGCCATCAGGGTCTCTCATAAGAGCAGGAAGTGAGGGGGCGGTGCTGCAGCCGACACAGAGCTGGAGCAGTGACAAAAGCCAGGTAAGTGTTTGTGTACTGGGGTGAGTACAGCAGGTAGTGGGACATTTTTTTACCTTAATCCAGGGAATGCATTAAGATACAAAACATGACTTTAGAACCACTTTGAGACACACAACAAGGCTGCCCTTTGACTTTAGATGGTGGTCGGACAAATAGATACAATTGTCCTAAGGCCTGCATGTGTTCAGAGAATCCACCAATCATAGTTAGTCTGGCTGAAAAAAGACAAAATTCCATCCAGTTCAATCAAAAAAAAAAAAAAAGTTATAATCCTATACCCACAATTGATCCAGAAGAAGGCAAAACAACCCAGCAAAGCATGATCCAATTTGCTCCTGCAGGGGAACAAATTCCTTCCTGATCCCCCGAGAGGCAATCGGATATTCCCTGGATCAACTTTACCTATAAATGTTAGTATCCAGTTATACTCTGTATCTAGGATAGAATCCAGGCCTTTTTTAAACGAATCCACTGAGCTGGCCAGAACCAACTCTTGAGGTAGTCTATTCCACATCTCTTACTGTGAAGAAACCTTTCTGTGTTTGGAGATTAATTTATTTTCCTGCAGAAGTAAAGAGTGCCCCCTTGTCCTCTGTGATGACCTCAGGGTGAATAGCTCTACACCGAGTTCACTGTATGAACCACTGATGTATTTGTACATGTTGATCATATCCCCCCTTAATCTCCTCTTCTCAAGAGACAATACAATCAGTTCCTCTAATCTTTCCTCATAGCTGAGCTCCTCCATGCCTCTTGTCACTTTGGTTGCCCTTCTCTGTACTTTCTCCAGTTCCCCAATGTTCTTTTTGTGAATTGGTGCCCAAAACTGAACTGCATATTCCAGATGAGGTATTACTAATGATTTGTACAGGGGTAATATGATATCTCTCTCTGGAGTCTATACCTCTTTTAATACAAGAGAGGATTTTGCTCGCTTTAGAAACCGCAGCTTGGCATTGCATGCCATTATTAAGCTTGTGATCTACCAGAACCCCCAGATCCTTCTCCACCATTGACTCCCCCAGTTGTACCCCCCCTAGTATGTATGATGATGCATATTCTTAGCCCCCAAGTGCATAACCTTACATTTATCAACATTAAACCTAATTTGCCACATAGTTGCCCAATTACACAGAGCATTGAGGTCGGCTTGTAAGTTGAAGACATCCTGTAAGGACGTTATTCCACTGCACAGCTTGGTGTCATCTGCAAAGACTGAAATGGGATTTATAATTCCAGACCCTATATCGTTTATAAATATATTAAAAAGTAATGATGCCAACACTGAACTCTGGGGTACACCACTGATGACCCTAGACCATTCAGAGTATGAATCATTAACCACTACTCTCTGAATACGATCTTTTAGCCAGATTTCTATCAATTTACATACAGATTTTTCCAAGCCTCTAGACTTTACACATTAGCCGTCTGTGGGGAACTGTGTCAAACGCTTTTACAAAAATCAAATATACCACGTCCACCGCCACCCCTCTGTCCAAGTATACCACGTCCACCGCCACCCCCTCTGTCCAAGTATACCACGTCCACCGCCACCCCCTCTGTCCAAGTATACCACGTCCACCGCCACCCCTCTGTCCAAGTATACCACGTCCACCCCTCTGTCCAAGTATACCACGTCCACCGCCACCCCTCTGTCCAAGTATACCACGTCCACCGCCACCCCTCTGTCCAAGTATACCACGTCCACCGCCACCCCCTCTGTCCAAGTATACCACGTCCACCCCTCTGTCCAAGTATACCACGTCCACCGCCACCCCTCTGTCCAAGTATACCATGTCCACCGCCACCCCTCTGTCCAAGTATACCACGTCCCCCGCCACCCCTCTGTCCAAGGTTTTGCTCACCTCCTCATAAAAAGAAATCAGATTTGTTTGACAACTTCTGTCTTTCATGAATCCATTC